AGAACTCACCTGAGCCAAGGCTTGCCTCAGCTGTCTGCCCAGTGTGGAGACTGCTTCCCCACCCAACCTTACCCTCATCCTAGACACGGTTTCTCTGTGTAGCTCTGGCTGTCCTGGAACTCACTATGTAGACCAGGCTGGCCTTGAACTCACAGAGATTCAACTGCCTCTGCCTCCCAAGTGCTGGGATTGAAGGTGTGTGCTGCCACCGCCTGGCTGTGGAGACTACGTCTGAGAGAGCAATGTGGAGCAGTAAGTTGTCTGCTGTTCTCTTTCCTGGCTTCACATGGTACAGCTTTAAATTATTGAGTGGTTGGAAAGGCTCACAATGACATCCCATTTCATTTGTTTCTCCCCTGGGCTGTGAAGCAGATCAATGACTCAGCTAGATGTGGGGATCACAGCTTAGGCTGGGCATAACCCTGGAGAGCAGGTCTCCCTCAGCCATGGCTGTCTTACAGGCAGGAACCCAGACTCATACCTTTCTAGACCAAGTTCCAGGAGATTTTTGCTATCTTATGGCACCCTCCCTAGAACCACTTTACAGGAAACATCCAAAGATCCAGAAAGAGGGCCAGGAGGCTGGAAGGGGCTTCACAGTTCTGGCCTCTTTCCTTTATGGTGCAGAGGTGTCAATGGAGTGGCAATGTGGGGCATACATTGACCCCACAGTTCAGTGGCCCCCTTTCCTCTGGGCTAGAGCCCCCAGGGTTTTCTGGAGACCAGAAGGTGAACCATGGACCCTAATATGAGGAAGACTTAGTGTCACTTGGCAGTGCTGGTGATAGAGCCAGGCAGGAGATGGAAGTTGAGGCTGTGGAGTGACATGGCAGTAATTGGCAAGGCTCTGAGCATGGAGGGCACTTACTTAACAGGCTTCAGGAGAGGCTGCTACAAGGAAGAATCTCAGCTAGAACCCACAGGGTGAGCCTATGCTTTCCAGAGTGGGCAATCTGGACAGCCAGAGGCAGAGCAAGATAAGGTGTGGCCCAGCAGGACAGGACTCTGCTTTGACCATTTACTTCATGTGTGACTCATAGATTTTTATGTCCTTTGTAGGCAATGACAAATTTGGGAGGGCACAGTACCAACGACCCATGGCTCACTCTGGGTACATTCTAGTGGCTACACATAATAATAGTGAATGCCTCCGTTTCTCTCTCTCTCTGTAAAATGGTGATGAGAGGATCTTGGAGATAATGCATATAAACCATAGGGTTTGGCACAGACACCCAACAGCCTTGACTGTGACTGCCTTGTCTGGCTTGGCCTCTTAGATACAGTTTCACACCCATATTCCTTTTGTCTGCCCTGAGCCAAACCCCATGTAAGGTCCATTTAACTCTGGCTGCCATTGAGGCCCCTCTGACCTACAAACAGCCTCAGCTCTCCTGTCTCATCCTCCATACACCCACTATCACCCTACCTGTGGACCATGATGCTGACACTAGGGGCTCCACCTGATATACTTTCATACTTCATACTGTCCTCAAAAGGAAGTGAATACTTTCAAGGCAAATGCTCTTCATTTAGAAGCAATGTAAAGGCCATCTAGCATGGCAGGGGTCTGGGATTGTCTTCTGGATGTTGATGGAAGAGAGAGAGAGAGAGAGAGAGAGAGAGAGAGCCCTCATCCCAGGCACAGCTCACACATCTCAGGAAGCCTCACAGGCTCCAACCATGAAAAAACTTCATCCAAGACATGGCAAGATAGGCTGAGCTCATCAGCTGCACTGTTGGATTCAAATATGAGCATTAGCTTCATTTTTTTTCCTCATCTTTTATCTTCATGTTTCCAGGTACCCTCTCAAGTTTATAACATGATGCCCGAGAGAAAGCAGTGATTGGCTCATGACACTCAGAACTAAGTAGGCCACAGGTCAGCAGCTGTCTATTTGTTCTGTGCCTCATCCCACAGTAACCTACATTCCATAACCAACAGTTAGGATACTCTCCTAAGGGCAGAGGGACATAGCACCCTTGGATGTAGCTAGAGCCTGCTGGAGGCTCTGACAAGCCCACCCTGTCTTTTGTGCACCCCGTTCCCTTCTTGCTGGCTTTGGGCATGATTTTGAATGGTCTAGAAGCTCCAACATTTGGGCCTGATAATACAACAGATGCCACCAGAGCCCAGGCTCCAAGTTAGGAGAGCACTGGGATGTGGGTACTCTTGTCTTTCAGTGTTCCCTCATTTACAAAGAAGGTAGATCTCATCAGAGGCAGCTGGGTACAGACATATCCTCCCTGGAAGGACATGGACGAATGATGCTTCCTCAAGTTGCCAGCAGTCCCAGGGAGTTGGACCATATCCATCCCTTCCCTGGTGCCTGGTGCCTAGAAAAGCTCTATTTCTTCTAGGGTTTTCCAGAAAGAGAGACTGGCCAAGTTGAATGTCCTGTCTTCTTTATTTTAGTTTATCTTTTCTTTTCTTTTTTTGAGACAGGGTTCTTCTGTGTAACAGAACCCTCGCTGTCCTGGACTCAGTTTGTAGACCAGGATGGCCTCGAACTCACAGAGATTGCCTGCCTCTGTCTTCCAAGTGCTGGGATTAAAGGTGTGTGCCACCACCCTCGGCAAATGTGTGCTATGCCACATTCTGTTGCTGTGACAATACACCTGAGCCAAGTAGGTTTTTAAAAACAGAGGTCCTATGGATGATGATTCTGGAGGCTGGATATTCAAAACTGTGTCAGCCACATATGATCAGCATCTGCCTGAGTTTCAGTGGTCAGTTAGAGAGCAGTGATCTGGCGTTAAAGGTACAGAGAGCCTCCTGTATCCCCTTTGAAGCCTCTGGTGCTCTCTCCAGGCAGGCTGCTCAAACAGCAGCAGTGGGACTAGGCAACGGTGAATCAAGGGAGTTGATTTTCCTAAGTCATTCATGAGCTCAATCCATGAATGGATCTGTGTGAGACTGGGTCATCCTTGGAGGGGATGATGGCTCACACCTACCCCTTGGTCAATAACCACCTTGATTATGGTTTATTCAGCATTGGCTCTAGGCTAGCAACTTTGAACAGTTTTCCTTGTACTACTACTAATTTAACCCAAGAGTACTTCTTGTGATTGGGAAGGTGAGGAAACTGAGGCACCAAGAGCCCACCTATGGGTCACCGCCCTGCAGACTCAGAACACAGGGCTGCCTTAATGTACTCAAGCAGACTGATTTGCTACAAGTCAAATTCAGCCCTGCAAGGTTCTGTGCATCAAAAAGCTACAGCTGGGTCAACCCTACCTTGGTTACTAATTTCCTAGGTGACTTGGACCAGGACCTCTGAGTCTTCGTTCCTGTCCTTGTAGAAAAATGTGCTGGATCATTCAGCCCCTGTGTGTTGGACAGCACCTGCTCAGAAAGACATGCCAATTCCTCTAGGAGTCACAGGCCACATCAGGCCGAGCTCCAAGACCAGTCTACAAGCACAGGCTGCCTATTTGTAGAGCTTCTGCCAAGAGGCATCCACCAGAGGGGAAGACATCACAGCCAATACCCCCAAAGTGTTTACCAGCTTGTGGATCCTGGAGGGCGTGCTGGCACTTTGGCCCCAGGGAAGGGACAGGAGAGAAATAGATAGATTCTCAAAGGCTTTGTCCCTCTGCTGGGTGGTGTCCATTCTGCCTTCCCCCCACCCTGTTTCTTCAACAAACATTTTATTTTTCCAGTGCTTGTTTTATGCCCGTGGGAGGTACTGGGAATGGCACCATGGCATAGTATCAGAATACTCATGGGTCTAAGTTGATGCTAGGACATATAAGCACGAGCTCACAGGATCCTAAGAACTATCCTAAAATATCGGGTCTGTCCTTAGGTCTTAACCGATGAAGGCAGGTGGAGCTAAATCACATTTCTGGAGCAGGTAGAGGTCAGTTTCCATCAGTAGGTTTTCTGGGCAAGGGATCCCAGAGTCAGTCCCGTTCTTTGTGGACACCTGCTGCTGAAAGCACAGATGCCAGCAGGGTCTCCTGGTTTACAGGATGTGGAGCAATGTGCTTGCTTCCCCAGGGCTTCTGCTCTTCACTTGAGCCTCTGGCCCCATCCATCATGAATGATAGTGATCTCTGGGGAGGAATTTCTTCTCCTGCTTCAGTACTATTTGGTCAGCCCTGACTAGAGCCAAACGTTTCTGTCCTCTGCTTCTCCCTGCAATACCTGATCCTTTATGTTCCTTTTCTGGTCCCCGCGCATCCGCGCTCTCTCTTCTCTCTCGCCTGTCTCTGTCCAGTCTCTTGTGCCCACCTGTTGTCATCACCGACACACGGCAGGAACCACCTGCTCACCCCCACGCCGCCGACCGCCGCCGACTCTTCTTTCAATCTGTGTTTCCACGCCCTGCACTGGACGCCTGACGTCACAAGGGAATCGATCACCATGTGGGCAGGGTGGCGAGGGGGCAGGATATGCCAGTGCCTCCTCAGTGTGCACCGCCCAGCGTCAGCCGAGCCGTAAGAGCGACGCTCGCGTAAGGCGAGATGGCCAACAGCCTAGCCCAGGGTCCAGACACCTACGCCTGGATCCCAACCCATTCAAACCTCGCCCCGGGTGTGTGTGTCATTAAATCCAGCTCTTACTACTCTGCCCTCCTCAGGCCGCCCCCCACGCCTCAGTTTCCCTCTTTCTGTTGGGAAGGAAGGGAAGGTCTGGTTCCGAGGCCTTCCATCACTCTAGTAGAGTTGCTCTAAGATCGCTTTTCCTTGCGCGTCCCTCTTCGCGATCTCAGTGCTGAGTTGAGCCACAGTTCCCTTCGCTTCCCTTAGTGTTGACAGCTCTGCTGAGCTCTAGAATCAGGTGCGGGAGAGCACCTGCGCTGCTGCCAGCCTGCGTCTGCGCGAAAAACACAGCCTGCCGGGACTTGTAGTCCACCCGTCCAACTGTGGTGGCGCGCAGGCGGGCGGCGTGGGAACGGCGCCTACACTTCCCAGGGTGCGACCCTCCCGCAGCTCAACAAGGGGAGGGGCCTAGCTGGGGGCGGGGCGGGGCTGGGGGCGGGGCAGGAGCCCCGAGCTGCGGTGGTTCTGCGGACAGCGGGTTCTGTGCGCCTAGCCGCTGGCCTCAGGCGTGTTGAGGATCGTGCGAGCGCCGCACCTGCGGGCCCGGTCTTCGGGCTGTCGCAGCGCGGGGACCGCCCTACTGGAAGCTGCCGCTGACATGAGTGCAGGTGAGAGCGGCGACCGGGGATCCGCGGGTTCAGAGCTGCAGCCCCCCAGCAGGGTCTCGAGGACTGGGTGGGAATCAGGCTGTACCTGCAGTGCGGAGCCCTGAGTCCAGCGGCTCCACCCAACTTCTTCTCCAGGGTATACAGCCCCACAGGCCGGCCCTCAGCCCCTGTCCCTGAGCCGGGGGGCGCGGAGCTGGCGTGCGCAGGATCCCTTCCCACCGTGTCAGCTAGGGTGACTGCGCAGGACTGTCTGGCAGACGCCACTCCTTGCTTCTCGTGGGGGTCCCAGGTTGCTTCAGCAAAGAGATCTGGGTTCCGGTAAGGGACCCTGGGTCCCCGTAGTCTTAACCGTGGAGAGAGGTGTGATGACAGGCGGAGCTTTGCAGCAGGGGACTCCACCCTTGCGCGGTTCCCGCAGCGCCTGGGTGGTGGCGTCTGGCAGACCCTGAGCGCCCCAGGTTTGCCGCTGCGGATCTGAGTGCCAGAGGCTGTATGTGTGTCAGTCCAGGCGCTGTCTGTGCGCGTTGTCCTTCCAGCCCTTCAGTCCTGAGCGTTTCAGCCCTGCCTTTCTCGCCGCACCCACCCACAGGGATCTGACCGCCTCTGTGTGAAGCTGGAAAATCCCACGTCCCTGCAACCCAGCAGTGCCTGAGCGCAGAGGGAAAGTGAGACCTAGAGCTGGAAGGTCTTGGTTCAGGGAGCATCTGTAGATCGCCTCAGGATGCACCCATCTGACAGCCTCAAGAGCTCAGCCTGCAGGGATCCTTGCATTCCCCAGAAGAGAGGGATGCTGGTCTCCATTTTCAGGAGCCATGGGTTGACCAGACTTCAATGACTTGAGCTCTACCAAGTGATAGGAATTCGAACGCAGGGCTCCCTGACTCCAGCTTGCTTCCCCTCCCCCCAACCCCAAGTTGCTACAGCCACACTGCATAAACCAACGGTACAGCTGCTTCCTCTGGGAGAAGGTGGACAGGGAGGGAATAAGCTTGGTAACAGCTCACTGGAGGCACCCAGTACCTCCTTCCAGGGACTGTCCCCTCTCCCACCTAGCCAAGGAAGGAGGGACTTGGGCAGTGGATGTTGAGAATAACCGAGAGTAAGTGGCATGGGAGGTGGGAGCCTCCTGAGATGGCCAACCTGTTACCTGTGGGGTGTGCGGGGAGGGCATCCTCAGACTTGGCAGGACCTCCAGACACTTATCTAATAGCGGTGGGGATAATGGCTGGGTGTATGCAAGTTAATTTTATGCTTTTAGACCATAATTGATAGCTCTGGTCCCTGTAATCAGGAGCCCTGAGAGGGAGCACAGGTACCTACTCCCTGCATTTGTAGTTTTTGTCCCCAGGGGAGGAGGACCAGGGTTGTCGTGGCAAGAAGACTGTGTTTTGAACTATGGCGTGTGCCTGGCGCACTGGGACACCTTCCTAGCCTTCGCCTGCTTGCTTGGAACTTTGGATCCCCTCTAAGCAGGAAAAACCCTGCACACAGTAGCCCCTCAGGAGCATGGGTGCTCATTGTCATTGCTGGGTCCCTTTTGGAAATAGAACAAATGTTGTCTGGCCCACGTGTCGATCATGTCTTAGCTTTGGCCAGACTATTGCATGCACAGCAGTGATTCCCAGTCATCTAGAGGAGCAGAGTGGACAGAGGTACATGGGTTCTAGTGTGGAGCTGCTATGAAATGTACGTATGGCAGGGCAGGAGTTTTCATTGTCAACAGGGAAAGACTCCCTTGTGCCCCCCCCCCCAGGAAAGGCTGGCATCATTGTGGAACCTGGAACAGACAACTGTCATGGGGTGATACTGGTCCTGACCATGCCCAGATGGGCAGGTGATGGGAAGCCCTGGCAACCTGTATGTATGTCCTGGGCTAGAAGTTCCTTCCCAGTTGTGGTGAGGACAGAGTGGATGGTGCTGGGGTATGACAACATAGAGCTGTGCCATGCTGGTTCTGGTGTGGCATTGAGGCCTACGGATGCCACCCTGGCTGTGGTTGCCTGTTGATTTCCAGTGGCCAGAGAGAGTCCTACAGAGTGCCACAGCAAGGTAGAAGGAGAAGGAGTTCCATTGCAGACAGGTCATGCAGTTCTCTGTGTCTCAATTTCCCCAGCTGTGTGGAGGGAATCTCTGTAGTTGTGTGTGCAGTGTTGGCTTCCACACAGTGCACCTGTAAGGTGGTGTCCAGAGCAGGGCAGCTCATGCGGCCACAGCGGGATAAGGGGCTGGGAAGCCCCTGAACTGGAAGTGGACATGATGAACCCTCTGCTGGCTTTGTCACTGGACTTGAGTTAGCCTGTTTCCTTGCTAAGCCTAATGTCCCTGGAGGTGGCTATAAGCCTGGCTGAGCTGAGGTAGAAGTGTGTGTGTGTGTGTGTGTGTGTGTGTGTGTGTGTGTGTGTTTTATTCTGTAACAATTTTGGACAATACTGGAGTCCAAACAACCAAGATCAAGGCATTAGTAGACTGATTTCTCTCTCCTTGGCCTGTAGACGGCATACCCTTTCTATGTCTTCACAAAGTTGTCCCTCTGAGTAGCTGTGTCCTAATATCCTCCTCTCCTAAGACACCATGCTGATTGGATGAGGGCACATAAGTGACCTCATTTTATCTTGATGAACTCTGTCTCCACATACAGCCACCGTCTAAGGTGTTGGGGTCAGGACACTATGTGAATTCAGCTCATAACAGGTGGAAGCCTGGCAGCTGGCTCAGCCACCATTTACTGCCATGCTGATGTGTAAGCAGCTGGAAGGGACCCGAGGGACATACTCCGGATGTACCCACCCCCACACAGGACAAAGAGGCCTGGAGAAGGACAGGCACCCATCCAGGGTCAAGGAAAGTATTTTGCACAGCCAGAAGCAGCCTGGCATTCTAATACACTTGGAATGTGACAGTCGCTACTCCTAGCCCAGGAGTGGGCAGAATGTGGCCACAAGCAGAGCTGGTCACCAGCCACTGTGGGGGACAAAGGATGCTGGCTATCAACCTTGATCCTGGAAATATTTACTAAACGCCCACAGTGTGTCTGCGCTGCCCTAGGCTCTGAACTGTGTGTTTGCGCTGCCCCAGGCTCTGAGACTTCTCAGCAAACAAGAGCTTGAGGAAATTATCAGTTTCTTGAAACGGGCATCTTAGGTGGATGTGGGAGGCATTAACAATTGATATGATGGCTTCTCAGTGTTACTAGAAAATGTTTAAGAAAACCAGTTTCATTAAGAAGCAGCAAAGGGGAGCTGGAGAGATGACTGAATGGTTAAGAGCACTGGCTGCTTTTCCAGAGGACAGGGTTTGATTCCCAGCACCCACATGGTGGCTTAGGAACTGTAACTCCAGTTCTAGGGGAATCTGAACTGCCCCCTTCTGGCCTCCTCAGACACCAGTTGGTACAGGTGGTACACAGGCACACATGCAGACAAAACAGTTGTACACATAAAATTTTTTTAAAAAAATAATTAAATAAATAAAAAGAGTGGAGGGCGAAACCGCATTTCACATGTGACCTCAGCTGTACCACACAGGGAAAGACTTAGAAGGGAAATCGCCGGCATGTCGGAGGCGGCGTCTGGCAGCCACTCATTCCCTGTTCTTCTTTATAATGAGATGCAGAGTCAAAAGCAGGAGGCAGTGTTGTTTTGGTTCTGGAAATGGTGTACATGGATTTGGAAAGCCATTACTGCAGAGAAAGGGGATGTCCCATTCTGTAGGAGTCACTGTACTTCACACAGAGCACAGAGGGGCATCTTATTGTCCACGGCTGGGTAGAGCCAAGCATGCACAGGAAGGCATACTGTGTCCCATGTCCCCTAACACCTCCACTGTTAGTAATAGATAACAGAGAGGAACCTCCCTAGCCCTGAAATGTATCAGGAGTCACATCTGGCCAGGACCCTGAGCACCATGGACTGTCATTCTCTGATTTCATATGTCCTATATCCTCAAACTCTGACTGCTTTTCCTGTGATGATCAAGGTTAATTTCCAAGTTAGCTACCCCTAAGAGTCTGATAATGAGGTGATTTAGTATTTTCTAGAATCAGGTCTGAAGTTAATGAACTCTTGAGAAGTCCATTTTGATATCCCAGGAAGGTGTGTGTCCCCTGACCCTTTAAGTGTTTCTAAACCACCTGCCCAAACCACTGGAGAGCTCTGAGCAGGCAGGAAGGACTAGAGTCAGCTCTGAGGAAGGCCCTGTCCTGTTGCTGGCCCTTTAAAAGGAGGCACTGCCTGTTCTCAGGGCCAGCCCAGGCCACAGTTGCTGACACTGGCAGCTGTTGGAATTCAGGGATGCTGGCCCCATGCTTGCCCTGATCTAGAGTCCGTGGCTCTCCTCTGGGTGGGTGCCTCACACCCTACCTTGTGCTTTGCTGTGGCTGTATCAGCCTCCTAGGAGGTCTGGTAAGATCTTCCCAATAGTCAAGGCTCCCAGGCTGGCTTCTTGCTTCTGTTGTCCTCTGTACTTCCCTGATCACGTGTCAGGATCTTGGGGGACCAAGAGTGCTAGGTACTCAGTACCACTGCCAGCTGCCTGGCAGAGCCTCGAAGAGCAGGTAAAACAGACACAGCAGGAAGACATTGTAACAGGCGGTGTCAGCTCCAGGATTTAGTCACCATCATGTGCAATTGAGCGCTTCTAGGCTGCTTTAAGCACACTGGACTATGACCAAGTTGGTGCTTAGGGCTCCAAGGCTGCTTGCTGGTCCCTGGTAGGGTAACTCGAGTGCCTCATCTCTGTTTACTCTGGGAATATTTCCACCACCACACAGCTCAGGGCTTCTAGGGTATCCACAGCACTGGGGCAGGACAGGAGGCTTATGTGTCACCTTAGCAGCCATGCTCACAGGGCGCTTCCTTAGGGCCCCGGGCCAGACTGGGGATCTGCTTTCTCCTGTATCCTCCTCACGCCTCACAGGTCTAGTGCTGGGGTTCCCTCGCACAGAGGGGAAGCAGGCCTTTCAGGTCCCAGCAGTTATCTGGTGTCACAAGATTGGTAAGTGG